ATATATAATTTCATTTCTTAAATTATTGGTCGATTAAAGTGCCAGAAGCTTCCCGCTTCCCTTCCATCTGAATGATTCAAAATTCAAATATTAGACCATAAGCGTTAGGCGGACTTGCAGGCCGGGGTACAACGAGTTGGACTTTGACCTTGCCCGGCAAGGCCCAAAAAAAATTAGAACCGTTGGATTTTATTTGGGCTCCCTAGTGTCACCTCCTAAAAGAGCTCTTAGGGGTGATGCGCAGCCCAGGACTTAAATACTGTTTTTCAGCCCTACACCTACCCGATATGGGACTTTTTGTCCGTGACACTAGACATGCAATCGAAAGTGAATGCAACGTGTGCAAAACTCAATCTTTGTGAAATTTCCAATTACCAAATTTATTTTTAGAAAAAAATTCAATCTAAGAGATATTTGACTAATAGTATATTAAAATTTGAAAGGTTTACAGTCATACCAGAATAATAATAATAATCTATAATTTTTTTTAGAGATTTTAAGGATAGTATAAATTATGTATTTGAAATTCAACATATAATAATAATAATAATAATAATAATAATAATAATAATAATAATAATAATAATTTGAATACTTATTGACTATTCATATTACAAACTTTTAAACGAGTTATACATATCCCTTACATTTTATGCTCCTCTATTTATAAGAAACTAAGATTAGTATGAAATGACAATTATACCCATGATTCTTTCTAATCGGTTGACCTTCAGTCAATCGGCTTCATGTCATGCAATTAATGAATATTTGACACGTCATCTTTTTATCGGTCAGCCCCTCTTTGAGCAGTCTCTGAGTCAGTCAATGTCTGGTTTGGCCTATCCCTTGATCGATTGATCTTTGATTGACCACTCGATCAATCTCCTAGTTTTGGTTAGGTTGGCCTCTGGGTTGGTTGACCCTCTACTTGAGCGGTTTCCAAGTCAGTCAACCTCTAATCCGATCGGTCATTGGGTCAGTTGATGATTGGTTAGGAGCTCGACCAATCTCCAATCTTTGCATATTTTGTTTATTCTCATAGAACTTTATCCAGTAACACGTGCTCCGCTCTAAGCCGTTTGATCCACAGAAAATATAGTTAAGAATATTTTGATTGTACATACGAGTTTTTTTATAGCACTAATTTTGGATAATATAAGAAATTATATATTTTCATATCCTCAACAACCTCAACATTACTAGTATTGCAATATACAAAAAACTTACATACATAGCCCTCAATTCTTATATATTTACTTATCTCAAGCCTAAACTTTAATTTTTACAAAATAAATACGTTTGAAAAGAATTATTTTGAACATTATCTACTCTGCAATCAAAAAGTGCCACGTTTTCAATTGTGGGCCTAATGGCCTCATGATTTCACCTAATTGGTGTAACTTACCAGGAGGTCACCCATCAAAGGAGTGCTCCAATGCGAGTATGCTTAACTTAGGGTTTTCTGACACAACGCTAACCGTTACACTAAAATGTATCTTACAGCAAAGGGCGTCTCGATGATTTAGAGTTCAGCTTCATTATACCTAAGGGGTTTCACATTTGAAGAGTCGACTTGGGGTGGATAAAAACATTTAAAAAATGTGGTTTTAAAGCTATGGTGAGGAAATCACTTCATAGAAAACTCTGATGAGAATTAAAAAAAAAAATATATATATATATGTATATTTTTCCCAAAAAAATAAAATTGCAACTTTCTGACAGCCACCACACTTTAATAGGTTAGGTTGAATTAAATAACCTCCCATTAAAAAAAAAAAATTCTAGAAAGCAATGAGAAAAACAGTTCCCAAAAAGAACTGCGATGATGATCTGAAACAATAAATAAACATAAAATTGACCCAAAAAGACCCCACGTCCCTAAAAATTTGCTCAAACCATGTTCTAAGTGAAGTTTAGAACAAACCATGATGAACATAAGATAAGGGTTAATTTTATAAAAAAAAAAAAAAAAAAAAAAAAAAAAAAAAAAAAAAAAAAAAA